CATCCCCTTAAAGCTATCCTAGGTGTTAACTCCCCCTAAATATTTATCATATTCTTCACCTTAACCAGAAACACACAAAGTAGAACTTTGTCCTTACTACTTCCAGCTTTTCCTGTTATATGCTTTCCACAAAAATAGCTATTTTTAATTTTTTATTAACATGTATTATTTGTAAATATTAATGGGCATTAGTGTGAGGTGTATACACATGTATATAGTGCACACTGATCAAATCAGAGCGATTAGCATTTGTTTATGTTTGGAAGCAGAAAGCACATCTCTTCTAAGTCTTTCTATCATAACTAATTGTAAACTGCAGTCACTGGAGTGTACTGAGAAGCACTAGAACTTATTCCTGCTAATTAGTTTTGGTACCTATTATCCAACCTCCTTTTATCCACTTTCCCCACCACTATACTTCCCAACCTCTAGTAATCACTATTCTATATTCAGACCATATTTTTTTAACTTCCGCATATGAGAGAAGACATACGGTAGTATATCTGCATCTGACTTATTTCAGTTAACATAATGTCCTCCAGTTCCATCTACTTTGCTGTGAATCACAGAGTTTAATTCTTCTTTATGCACCACATTGTGTATACACCACATTTTCTTTATGCATGCATTCACTCATTGATGAACACCCAGGTTGATTCCATATTTAGCTATGGTGAATAGTATGCTACAGTAAAGATGGAAGTGCAGGTATCTCTTTGGTTTGCTAATCTCCTTTTCTTTGGATATGAACTATTTATTGACCATTTGTATTTTTTATGGTGAAAAGTATGTAATCAGATAATTTGCCCATTTTTAAAATTGGATTACTTGTTTTTTATTGCCAATATTTTGTGTTCTTTGTGTATTCTAGATATTAATCCTTTATAAAATAAATTACTATCAAATATTTGTCCCATTTTTTCTATGTACTTTGCTGTATAGAAGCTTTAGTTTAATATAATCCAATTTATCTATTTTTGCTTTTATTTCTGTGCTTTTAAGATCATCTCCAAAATATCATTGGCTACACTGATGTCTTGAAGTATTTCCTCTATGTCTTCTTGTGTTGACTTCATAGTTTCGGGCCTTACATTTAGGCCTTTCCATTTTGAGTTGACTTTTGTAGAGTGAGAAATGAGAGTCAAGTTTCAATATTCTACATATGGATATCCACTTTTCCTAGCATGATTTATTGAAAAGTCCTTTTTTCAATGTACAATTTTGATGGCTTTGATGAAATAATTTGACTGTAGTTGCATGTTTATTTCTGGAACTGCTTTTCTGTTTCTTGGCTATATATGTTTGTTTTTACCCTAGTGCTATGCTGTTTTAGTTACTATGATTCTATAGTATGTCTACAAGTGACATATTGTGATGCCGCCAGCTTTGTTCTTTTTATTCAAAATTGCTTTAGCTGTCAGGGTTGTTTGCATTTCCATATGAATCTTATATTGTTTCCCTAGTTCTTTGAAGAATATCACTAGTGGTTTTCTGTGTTTTCATTGAATTGCTTTAGGTACTATAGACATTTTAACAATATTAATTCTACCTCATAAACAGAAATTTTTGTGTCTTCTTTAATTTTTTATCAGTGTTTTGTAATTTTCATTGCAGAGATTTTTGTTTTTTTGATTAAATTTATTCCTAGGTTGGTATATTGGTTTGTTTGCTTGTTAATTGTGCTACTAGAGATTGAACCCAGCACCTCATGCATACTAGGTTAGTACTCCACCACTGAGCTAGCTCCTTCTCAGCTCCCTTTTCTTCTCCTTTTTTGTAGCTATCATGAAGGGTATTGCTTTTCATGATTTGTTTCTCATCAAGTTGATTTTTGTGTTTGTTTTATACTACTTGAGATTAAACCCAGGGACTTTTCACTGAGCTATATCACTGGCCCCCCATTTTTATCACTGGCCCTTTTACATTTTTATTTTAAGACAGTGTATGTCTAAGTCCCTGAGATGTCCAGTCTGGACTTTAACTTGCAGTCCTCCTGCCTCAGCTTTCCAGAGTACTGGGATCATCAGCATGCACTATCATACCTGACTTTCAGCACGTTTTTTATTAATGCACAAAAGTGTTGCTGAGTTCTGTATATTAATATTTTCATTCTGCAACTCTACTGAATTATTTTATCAACTCTAACAATCTTTTGGTGGGTCTTTAGGTTTTTCTGCACATAGAATCATGTCATATGCAAATGGATGATTTGACTTTTCCTTTTTTTGTTTGTATGCCTTTTAATTCTTTCATTTACTTTCTCTGGCTAAGACTTCTAGTACTATACTGAATAAGAGTAATGAGAATGGACACCTTTCTCTTGTTACTTTTGTTAGAGGAAACCCTTTCAGCCTTTCCCCATTAAGTATGATAGTGACTGAGGGTTTGTCATATCTAGCCCTAATTATATTGAGATAAGATCCTCTTATACTTAATTTGTTTAGGGTTTTCATCATTTAGGGATCTGAATTTTATCAACTGCTTTTTCTATACTTATTGAAGTGATCATATGATTTTTTATCCTTCATTATTTTGATTTATATATTGTTTGTTAATTTGCATGTGTTGAACCAAACTTGCATCCTTGGAATAAATCTAACTTGATCATACTGAATGATTTTCATTTACTGTTGGATTCTATTTACTAGTATTTTGTTAGAACTTTTATGTACATGTCTATTGGGGATGTTGGTGCATAGGTTTTTATTTGTGTGTGTGTGTGTGTGTGTGTGTGTGTGTGTGTGTGTGTGTGTGTATCCCTGTCTGGTTTTGGTATCAGGATAATGCTATCTTTATATAGCTTTTCGCCTCATACTATGTTCCACACTCTGGTATGTGTTTTACTTCCATTATTCCAATTAACCCTACACAAGAAACTGTAGGTAGGTTTTTAAAATCTTCATATACAGATTAAAAATCTGAGGCTCAGAAATGTTAAAACCTCCCCACAAGTCACTCAGCTGATATTGCCAGATCTTGAATTCCTGACTTTACATGCCAGTTTTTATTAGTTTTCCTCCAGGCCAAATAATGATATTAGTTTCCTAGGAAGACTTCTTCAGGTATGGGTGTAAGGATGTGTTCCTTTCTTGAGGCTCTCTCTTTCTTGCCAGGAAGCTACTGTCTTCTGTGTATTAGCATGTAATTCAGTGTATTAGCACTGTGTATTAGCATGTGTATTAATTCTGTGTATTAGCATGTAATTCAGAAAATAGCACTCATCTCCAGTGTAATCATTCATATTTTAGGTACTTGTGTCTCTCTATCCTCTGAATATATAATAGTTTTCTTGTATCCATTAACAGCAAACTGTTGCCCTTATAAAAAAATCTGTCTCTGTCATGGGTTTAGAGGAAAGCACTGAAGATGTTTTAAAATGTTAGAAAATCTAATGTGCAAAGAAAAGTGAAAGATAACAACACATTTTATCTTACAAAGGCAAGAAACCAGGCTTTACTGACCAAGTAATGAAACAAGAAAAAAAAGTGAAGCTGGCTGCAGCATAAAGAATTAAGGAAAATGTGTGACACTCTTACTGAGTGTGGATATCAGTTAAATTAGGATGCTGTCTATTCTCCTCATTTTGGAGACTTAAGACACTTGCTTTAGACATATCTGTTGAGGATGGTTTGGTGCAGTCCTAGATGTATCCTTGCCCAAGGGCTGACAGATGGATCAAATGACCTCTCAGTATCCCTTATGTTCCCATACTTGTTTCCCTGTGATAATGGACTGGATTGTTAGCTGAGTCAGATCTGCCCTTGCAAGTTAGTGAAGGGGTCATCTGCTTGAAAGAAAACAGTTAAGACTCTAGTTCCAGAAATAAAAGCCTGACTATCCTCTTCCAGATGAAATTATACCATCAAACATTTATTTTCTTGAGCCAGAAAATATTTCTAGTCTTCAGCACTTCCCTACAGTGATACCAAAGAGAAGGTAAAGCCCTCATCAGATAAAGGCTTAGAAACATCCAGGCCCTGCAGCAGGACCAAGAACCAAAGAAGAAAGAGAGAGGGTCGTAGAAATCAGTTGTGCCTAACTGGACATGGGCTCTTAGCTCCTGCAGAAGGTAAAGTGCTCCTCTCCCTCTCTTTGCTAAGTTCTTACTCTCCTGATGGCAGAGCTTCTACCAAGAACAAACACTGACCAAGGCACTAAGAACACTAAAGTATGACAAACAGCATGTCTCCTACTTTCCTACAAAATACTAAATGCATAGTAGTTGTGTAGCAAACAAGGAAGAGATCAACACTTAAGCACCAAATACTCACTGAGTTACTGATAGACACAAGGCATTATTCTTGGTTGTAACCAAATGCACAGATCCTTGGCCTTCTTGGAGCTTCCATTCTGGTAAAAGAAAGGTAAGTTATAATGAAATTGCAGGCATACCAGGAACTATGGCAAGCAGACATACCCTGCCTACCAAAGTCTACCTTTGGAAGTTCTTCTTGTGAAAACTGAATAGAAATTGTAGAAAGGTATGATTTTATGGAGGAGAAACTATCTGGAAAATATTTCATTTAAAGTTGCTAAAAATTGAACTGGTAATGGAACTCACACTAGTCTAGCATATACAAGGACCTAGTTTTAATTCTAAAAAATGACTAATGCTATCAATTTGCTGGTGTGGAAGGATGAGGAATAATTTATATTTTTCTCTGACATTTATTCAAATATTTATACAATAAATAACTTTAAAATGATTTCAAAGTTATAATTAATACTATTTTACCCATTTTAACCATGTGCTTCTAATGTATTGGTCTTCAAACTACCACTTGTAAATTAAGATCAAATTGTTTGAGGGTATGAAAAAATTTCAAGCCCAAATTCAAGATCAAATAGAAGTCTTACCCTCACATTGTAAACATTGAGTCTAATCTCAAAAAAGTATTTGGAGTTACTATACTCAAACAAGATAATATATGTTATGTTGTGGCATAGATTTTTCCCCACCTACATTGAATGTGAATTACAGGTTGGTTCCTGCACTACAGGTGGACCTGTGGCAGCCCAGCAGTATCATCTATGTGTCAGAAGGGACAGTTATTGATGTTCATATTCCCCAAAATGCTTCCCGAGCTCTGTTAGCCTTCTTCCAGGAAGCCAACATCAAGTACAAGTAAGCATTTCTTTTCAATTGCTACAAAATTTATTTGTACTAAATTGAACTGAATGACCATTGCACTCAGATTATACAAGTGCTTATGACAGAGTTTTCATTTTGAGAAAACTCACAAATATAGTCACCTTTGAAGAGATTATTAATCCAATGGGGGTGAGGAGCAGTGACATAAACATACCATTTCCCAGTTACCATTACAGGATCAGTGTCAACACAGACTGTTTGCTGTGTGATTAAAAGAGAGTGGCCTGGCGATGCCTGTTAGGTTATGGGAAGGCAGGGAAAGAAAAGACTTTCTGCAAAAGGATAAGGATGAGACTCAGAACCTGCAGGTAAAGGTGCCAGTGCCAGCAAAGGAAGAAGCAGCAGACTGGTGCAGTGTTACAATGCACAGGTGCAAGTTAGATTGGAAAAGAAAAGATACTGGAGAGGCAAGGGGAGGAAATTGTTAGTAAGTCTTCTGAGAAAGGGGAGAAGCCTAGACCTTATCTTTGAGTGGTTCCATTCCCGTGGACAATATAATAAGAAGATAGAGAAGTGAGTAGAAGGTCAGGCCTGAGAGCAGACTACAAGTCTTAGTCATCAGAATAAAGAGAGAGACAGAGAATAAGTACCACAAAATTATGTAGCATCAATGACTGTCTTAGTTACTTTTCTTATCACTAGGACACAATAACCAATAACCACAATTACAGAAGTGGTTTATTTTGGCTCACTGTTTGTATAGATTTCAGTCCATAGTTTTCTCTGGCTCCAAAGTAAGACAGCATGGCACAGGGGCATAGTGCAGGAGAGCTGCTCATCACAAGGCATCCAGAAAGCAGAAAAAGCATCAATGGAGGAACTGGGAAGGGAGATATAAACTTGGATGTCACAAAAGCTGTCTTAGTCACTTTCCTCATCCCTGGGACAGACAACTTGGAAGATTTGGGATTTTTGCCAGGAGGGAGACATTGTGGCATGTCTTTTTAGAGTATGGAGACAGTACACAGATTGAGAGGTGAATTTGAGTAGTAGGAAGGATACCTTATCCTCTAACACTGAAAAAGTAAATGTAGATCGATCCACTTAAGATTGTAAAGAGGAAGATTCACAAATTGAAGCGATAGCTGGTGATTTTCTTATTGGGGTAAGCAAGATTACCGAAAGTTAAA